GTATCTCTTTTCATGGAATATCTTGAGTGAGGAGTTACATAATAGGCAGGTAAATAAATAAATAGACAAGGTCTTTTCAAGTAGTGATTAAGTGCAGGAGGAAAGTAAAACTGGATGATGTTGAAAACGATGGGAGAATGCATACACGGGTTTGTGTATGTGTGGGTGGCTTTAAATTGGGTAGTCAACTCTGAGCTGTTTACCTTTGGGCTGAGAATTGCATGCCAGTAGGTCTGTGACTACCTGGGACTGAGAATTGCATGCTAGAAGTTGCTAGGCCTGTGATCACCTGGGGCTAAAGCCTTCACAGCAAGTGCAGAGTGCCCTAGGCTAAACAGAGTTTGTCACATTCAACAAGCAAAAAGTGAAAGACTGGATAAGTAAAACTCAGTGAGACTGGAGAGATGACAGGAGCCAGCACACTTAAAGCGTTACAGATCATAAGGAAATTTGTATTAATATTGCATTATATATGTTATGAGAATCCTTTGCAAGATTTTAATCAGGAAAGTGACCTGATCTGATTTACTTCTTAAAAGATCACTCTGCCTACTGTGATTAGGATGAGTTATAGGGCAGCAGACGAGATCAGTTAGAGATCTGTACAATAAATTATGGGACTTGAATCTCAACTGGTAGCACCGGGGCACAGATAGATTTGAGATGTATATTCATTTGGAAGTACACGTCACAGGTATCAGAACTGAGGGAAAGAATTCTTTAACAATAAAATGAGAATGGTATCTCACGGGTATTATGTGAGGAGCTAGCTGATGCATGTCAAGCATTTGGCATCCTCAGCCAGGCACAGTAGCACATGCCTGTAGTCCCATATAAGAGCTCTCTAAATGATAGCTACTTGCCATTGTTATTATTATTTTTGTTGTTGTTAAGGATAGTACACATACCTTGAGATAAATAAAAACTTAACTTTCTTATAAAAGTTAAATTATACCTCTTGTATAACTCATTGAAAGTTTCTTATAGTGCGTACTGAATGTTGGTAGAAATTAAGAGTGTTACAATGTCTTAAGGTTTAGTGATCAGAAAGAAAAGGCACATTTGTTTTCCTTTAGTACTTCACAATACTAGCCATAAATATATGTATAAGTAGTAACATTATTCCCTTAAAAATTGTGACTTAAATATATATTTTTAGATGTGCTAGCTTGATGGTATGGGACACTGAAAATCTTATCTGCAGCATGTGTCTGTAGTGCTTCTATTTAGGGAATCCCTAAAAGTCAGTTAGCAATAAGTTACTTTCAAATTCTGAATGGTTCTTGGTTTTTCAAACTGATTTTAATTATTATTTTGAGATGTATATTCATTTGGAATATAAGCAGATCAACCAAATAAGCAGATCAACCAAAGGGATAGTTCTTACTACAAACCTTGGTTTTATGAAACAAAGACTCTCTATATAACCTTCAGAGATAATAAATTCTCATTATGTGTGAAAAAATAATACATAAGCATTTAACATTGATAGAATGGTGAATGACCAAGTATGATTCATACACAGTAGAATAGATAGTATGCTGTGAGTGGACTCTATGTATAGTTTCCTAAATTTCAGTAGTTTTAAATAGGGGACTAAATGGTTTTTGTGGGTAATAAAACTTCTAGTTTAATAATGTATTTTAATAATTCAAAATCAAATTAGAAGATATAATATTTGCCACATAAAATGTTTCTTTACTGATTTTGACTGTTCATCTTTCCCTTTTATAAACATGTGTATATGCACAGAAACATGAAATTTATACAAAATTATGTTTTTATATGATTAAGAAAACAAAAAAATAAAGTAAACACTTCATAATTATACCATTTAGTGATTGAACCTTTTTTTCTAGCCATTTATTTATTATTTTGTTTATTTATTTATTTAGTCAGTCAGGGTCGCCCAGACTGGAATGTAGTGCCATCCATAATCATGGCTCACCATAGTCTTGACCTCCTGGGTTCAGGTGATCCTTCTGCCTCAGCCTTCCTAGTAGCTGGGACTACAGGCATGTGCTACTGTGCCTGGCTGATTTTTAATTTTTTTATAGAGATGAGATCTTGTTGTGTTGCCTAGGCTGCTTTCAAATTGGATTCAAGCAGTTATCCTGCCTCAGCCTCCCAAAGTACTGGACTTTACAGGCATGAGTCACCATGCCCAGCCCATTTATATTTTAAATATGTATATTTCCTCATATTCTTTGTTTTGTACAATTTTAATCTAAAAGTGTGGTTAGTCTAGTAGTTGGAACTACAGGTGTATGCCACCACACCTGGGGGGGTGGGAATAAATAAAAGCGTGGTTAATCTAAAAACACCTTTCCTTGTTAAATTTTCTATAACATCTTTTTTCCTTATATATATAATTTATACTTTGTTGTTGATTTTTTTTTTTATTGTGGTAAAATTTACCATCTCATTTATTTTTAAATGTAGATTCAGTGGCATTCATAATATTTCTGGATGAATGTTAAAGGTTCTACAACATTCCTTTTACTACAGGGTGATGATATTTTATATGAAAGACTGTCATTTACTTAACAGAGAACCTCTATTGTTAGACATGTCAATTGATTCCATGTTTTTCCATAAATATGGTATGATAAACATCTTTGATGTAAAATCTTTGTATGTGAATACTTTTTAGTGATGAAGTTTGAAAAGTGATACTGTTGAGTCAGAGGGTACACAATTACTTCTACAACTTATGATGGGATTATGTCCCTGTAAACCCATTTTAAGTTAAAAATACAATAAGTCAAAAATGCATTTAACACAAATTAACCTACGACGCATAGCTTAGCTAAGCCTACCTTAAACATGCTCAGAACAATTACATTGGCCTACAGTTGGGCAAAACCATCTAACACAAGGTCTATATTATAATAGTGTTGAATATCTCTTGTAATTTATTGAATCCTGTTCTCAAAGTGAAAAACCGAGTGACTATATAGGTGCTCAAAGAACAGTTTCTATTGAATGTGTATTGCTTTACCACCATTGTAAAGTAGAAAAATCATAAGTCAAACCATCCTAAGTCAGAAACTATCTGTATTTGTTTAAGGCTACTGATGATAACTGCCACATTTTTCCCTAAAAATTTAGTACAGCTCTATATTCACATTATTAGTGCAGTGTGTGAGCTGGTCTTTTTCGTCACATTTTTACTAATACCGAGCACTTTTATATTTTAGATCTAAAAGTTTTAGGAAAAGGTAAGCACACTTTCCTGTTTTGCTTCATAGTTATTATAATGGGTACTTTAAATGCCAGTTGATAGTCAAAAAGTATCTCATTTTAACTTTATGTGATTTTTAGGGAAGAAAATAAATTAATTCTCAAACATTGTTAATACATTGATTAGGGAAATGTGAGTTTGCACTCAGTCTTCATTCAGGTCCATATAGAGAAGGAGAATCAGTCAATCTTCCTAGGTGAGGAGAACATTTATGGTACAGTGGAAGAGTATGGTTGTGATGGTAGGGGGAAGAAAGACATTGAGAGTTAAACTGAACCTAACATTTTAAAGTTCTGCCTGGCAAGATGGTGACAATTACCTTACCCTATACTTGCACTGTTTCAATTACTAATTGACCTCTTTTCACCCAAGCTTAATTTGAAGGATATTTTCACCCAGCTTAATTTGAAAGATATTTTCCATGGAAGCTTAATTCTGCCTTTGTGATACATATCTATAGAAACATATCCTTTTCTTTGGAGACATTTTGTTAGAGCCTGCTTTTTCTGTAATGAATGAATTTCTGTAAGATAGAATGGAAGACATATCTTGAAATAAGTCTTTTTTGTTCCTTGCTATTTTCCACGAGGTTCTTATTTGTTTAATTTATGCATACCATGAAAAAAGAGATGACTTTTTTTATTGCCTTTTAGTTTTATTTAAGATGCCGTCTTCTCACAGTGTTGCACAGTAATAGCGTGGAGGTACCGATACCTAGTCAATAAGACCTCGTAAAATTTACAGTGGGAAATAATCATTAATAAAGGTACCAACTTTAACGCATTTTTAAAGAGAAAAATGTTAACATTTTCATTTTCCTTTTAATCCATTGTGATGTAGCTTGTAATTTTATCACTGTACTAAAATTAGTTAAAAATTATCTATGGCCAGTTTTTTCTTCTCTGTTGATCTCACTAAATCCTCATCATGCTGGACTTTGCATAATATTGTTGCTCCTCCACTTCCATTATGTTGTGTTTTCTTGATATTTCTTACCTGAGTATTTGCCTAGTCCTTATACTGCTTCAGACCCTTTCTGGATCTTCCCATCCATTCCTTGTCTAAAAGTCTGAAAACTATGGTATTTCTTACTAAGGATTTGGTTCTGTATTCCCAATTGCCTTTTCTGACTTGTTTGCCATATTTTTTCTTCAAATTCTATAAATCGAAGCTTGAATGATTTCACTTAACCACTCATTTTTATATAGTTTGGCCACCAGTCCCAATAATAGATATTTCGGCATCATGTATAGTTTTTCCTCTTCAAAATCCCCTGTAGCCAAACAGTCAATATGTATTTCTGGTACTCATACATTCCTCTCCAGTTTCCCTTATTTAATGTTGAGTGGTGTAATTTGCTTTAGATTTGATTGCCAGCAGTATTTAAATAAGCTGTCTCTCTATAAATGTAAAGATGAGTTTTGTACACATAATTTTGTCTAGTTAAGTATGAGGGGAAAGTGAGTGTCCTACACAAGAGCCTTGTTTCATTTATTTTGTATTTGTAACACAGGTGCCTCACATATATTAAATGCTTAGGAAATGTTTTTTGAATGAACTACTCAAAGACTAAAGAAAGAGCTTTCTTAGTTCTATGTTCTGTGAAAGGGGAGAATCAGTTTGAATGTAGCTAATGTTTCTTTTGTTTTTTTCTCTTTTATAGTAGAGTACAGTATTTCAGTTATTCATATTTGTTGATATTGTTAAAGGTATTCTAATGGTTATCTTTACAAAATTGACTTAATGTATAAGTCATTTTTTCCCTTTCTTTTTAGGTTTTGGAAGGAAGGACGTTGTAGAACACTTACTACAGATGGGTGCTAATGTCCATGCTCGTGATGATGGAGGTCTCATCCCGCTTCATAATGCTTGTTCTTTTGGCCATGCTGAGGTTGTGAGTCTGTTACTATGCCAAGGAGCTGATCCCAATGCCAGGGATAACTGGAACTATACTCCTCTGCATGAAGCTGCTATTAAAGGGAAAATCGATGTGTGTATCGGTAAGTATTATTTGTTGATATCTGAATTGTAAGATCAGCGTTAGATACACAATTTTAACAAAAGGTTTTCTCTTTTTTTTTTTTTTAAATTGTGTTTCCTCAGTGGACCCTGAACATTTATCATAATACTACATGAAAGGGATTGGCAGTAGCAGGTCACTGCCAAGGGACTGGGGCACGTAATACAGGGTACCTGATCCCAAACCAGGTGAAGTGAGGACCAGTGAAGGCCCAAATTTCACCTGTATGATGACCACTTATGTACCTGACTCTAAGTTTACCCCACATCTTTAAAAAAAAAAAATTAAAAATTAAAAAAAATTAAAAGTGTGTTTCCTCAGAATAGGTAAGGTTTTATTGCTTCTTCTAGAAGTAATTCTTTTCTATCAAAAGGAAAGTAGAGAAATGGTAATCTAAAGTTAGTTAAGACCAAGATTTGCACCATTAACTCTCCAGATGCAAGTCAAATGCCAACTGGTGTGGAACTAAATTTTGATGGATTGCTCTTGTCAAATATAGTTAATTTACAGTCTCTTTAATAGACTGCAGATTTTCCATCCTGGCATCAGTAAGAACCATTATAAAGTACAAGTTCCTACTGAATTGGATGACATATTTGGATACTTTAGGTTGGTTCAAGAAAAGTCATCTAGTATTGTACAATAGTCTCTCCTTATCCATGGTTTCGCTTTCCGAGGTTTTACTTTCCACAGTTTCAGTTATCTGTGTTCAAACACAGTCTGAAAATATTAAATGGAAAATTCCAGGCATAAACAACTAATAAGATTAAATCCTTCACTGTTCTGAGCAGCATGATAAAATCTCACACCATTCTTCCCATCCCACCTGCTATGTGACTCCTTCCTTTGTCCAGCTCATCCAGGCTGTCTGTGCTCTGCCCATTAGTCACTTCGTAGCCATCTTGGTTATCATATTGACTGTCACAGTATCAGAATGCTCGTGTTCAAGTAATCCTTATTTTATTTCAGAGTTCAAAAGTAGTGATCCTGGCAATTCAGATAGGCCAAAGAGAAGCCATAAAGTGCTTCCTTTAAGTGAAAAGGTGAAAGTTCTCAATTTAATAAGGAAAGAAAAGGAAAGGAAAATGTGTACTGTAGATCTAAGAATCTACTATAGATTCTTCTATCCATGAAATTGTGAAGAAGGAAAGATAAATTAGTGCATAGGATAGATATATAGAGTACAGTACTAGCTATGGTTTCAGGAATCCACTGGGAGTATTGAAAGATATCCTATCTTGGGTAAGGGAGGATTGCAGTACTAAGGCAAAGTTATTTTCTTTATGTTGCTAAAATTGAACACCAGCCAGCTTATTAGTACTGGAAATTTTGAGTGAATGTTTTGAATACAGTAGTTCAAAGCTTTATATTTTCAACATGTGTCATAGTCTAGAGAAAAAGCAATTTCAAACAAAATTGAACTTTTCAACCATTTTAAGTATCTAGATGATATGAAATTGTGTTCAGCCAGCATTTTATTCTCTCATATATGTATTTAGATTTTGCTTTATTGTGTAAAGTTTTAAATTTTGAAATAAAAAAAAAGCTTCTAGAGGAGAAGTACAGTTTTTCCTGAGTGTGTCATCTATTTCTTGATACTAAAGATGGTGGATATTTGTTTAGCTGATGATAGATTAATTTACATAATTGTGTCTTCCTAGATGATGTCCATTTCTGTATAATCAGTTTTTTAATGATAGAGCTCAAATATGTATGTCATTTTTAAAGATATAGTTGTGGTGCCATTAGTTTTTTTGTCTTAATAATGATTAAGATTATTCCCTCCTAGCCATCTATTCCAGCTTCCAGTATATTTTTCAGTTTTTCTCAAATTATTATAATGTCTGACATACAACTTTTTAAAAATCACATTCTCTGTCATTATCCTTTGTCACTTCAGCGTCTGTTGACTTGACCCTTTGGATATCCTGTGCTTTTAGTTCCTTGACATCTTCCACTTTCAGCTGACTCTCTCATTTCCCCCTAAGTCTCTCACTAATAAAGCCACATCCTGGATGAAATCATTACATAAAACTATCTCAAAAAGCTTGAACTCAGAACATCCTCTCTCTGACCACAAATCCTCTTAAGTTACTTGTTTTCATATGTGGTAACTGTTATTGAACTTGATATGTATTTTTATATAGTCTTCTAGACTTTCAGCTTCCCTGCTGTCACGTACCCTTCTTGTCATATCCATTGGATTTTTCTCAGTCATTAGACATATTTATACTGTCCTTGCCATCTTAAAATATCCTTTCTAGGCTCATTGTTCTAATTTTTCTACCCCTACCTCTCTTAATTTTTTATTCTATCAGTACTTTGAATATCTTATTGAAATTAATATTCCTCTCTTTCTCTTAATATCTCTTCTCTTTCTCTTAATACCTCTTTCAAAAGTGCATAATGCAAATGCTCCTTTTATCTAGGTTCTATTGAAATAAAGAACTAGATGTAGGGTTTGAATTTTTAAAGACTAGATCCCCGTGGTTCCTAACTCCAGAAATTCTCAGTAAACTTTGTCACATATTACCTTCCTTCTATTTAAGTTCTTGTGCCTTACAAAAGTTGGGAAAAGGGAAGAAGGGCACCTTTGAAGCTATAATAAAAATCCAAATAAGGATATATTTGCTGTTAAAGTATATAGCAGAGTTATTATGGGAGTCAAGGTGTTGTAAACCCATCTGTATACTTAATTAGCTTTCAGGAACCTCCTAGGAGGTTTATTCTCAGGGTCATTGAAAACTCTGATCGCTTATATAACATACTTTCTGAATTTGAGACTAGTAAAGGAATTCTGAGGTGTTTCTCTGAGGCAAATTTCTACTTTGGGGCAACTGTACAAAAGGATTGGAAGCCTAACCTTTTTTTCCTTTTGCTTGAGTCTGATTGTTTTTGAAAGATTAGTGTCCAAAATTGATTTTTAAAAGGTTTTTGCCTAGATGATGAAATTCTGACCTGATTTTTTTAGAAGATTAATCATATCTTTATATGTGAGGTAGAATAGCAAATACAGTTGGTATTTTTAAAGCTAGAGCCAAGCCACATCACCAATGACTTAAAGAAGACATCAGGGCAGACTGCTCTGGGCTTATATCCTGACCCCACAAATTTCCATCTGTGTGTGAGGCCAGGGACCACTTACTTAACCTCCATGTTTCATTGTAAATGAAATGGGAATACTAGTCATACTTCGTACCGTTCTTGAGAGGATTAGCAAGTATACACAAAGTACTTAGAAGGGTACCTAATGTGGTACATATTCAATAAATACTGATTGTCATTATTAATTACTATTATGATTGTTGCTAAGATCTCAACTTAAATTATGCTACTATGTGGTATAGATTTCCTGGTTTCTCCTGTTTGTCCGTTATAGACATTTCTTTAAAATGTTAGTTTAAAAGTCTTTAATCCTTGTATATCTTTCATAGGTGCTATTTAGCTGCCATCAAAAAGAAGTAAACACAAACTGAGATTATTTTAAAAAATAAACTTTAAACATAAGACAGAGGTCTTGGAGTTCATTAGAGTAATTTTGATGATACACTTTTTATGTTATGTATAATAAATTGAACTTACCTCAGAAATCAATACATTTTCTGCCTTTAGGACTTATTTATTTATCTCTTTTTCTGTTTACCACCAGAATATAAAGTCTCCAAAAAATTAAAATAGATGATATTGTCTTTTCTGACTGTATGCCATATGACCTTTTGAGACTATCTAAGTGTTAGTATGTGGAAATTACATTTTAAAAGCAAACTGTAAGCATACCTTTCGTAGAGTCAACTGAGTAAGATCTGGGAGTCATAATGGATATTTGTAATTTTTTTTCTTTATTCTTTTTGGCTGACTAGTATCCAATTCCTTTTTTTGATATTGGAGATTTAAATATATGGGCAGTCATTATGGGGAGGAATATAGTACCTGGTAGAGTCAACTCTTCCTTCTTTCTTCTTGTCAGTCAGGGATAGCCTCGATTTGATCAATTACATGCTCCGTTCTGTAATGTAGAATTTTGAGTACCATGTCTTAGGAATTTTTTTGTTTTTCTTCAAGTCAGGCTCTTACTTTGTCACTTAGTCTGGCGTGTAGTTGCATGAGCACAGCTCGCTGCAACCTCAGCTTTCTATGCTGAGGCAATTTTTCCACCTGAGCCTTCCCCATGTAGCTGGGACTGCAGGTACATGCCAACACACCTGGATGTGTGTGTGTGTGTGTGTGTGTGTGTATATATTTTTTTTTTTTTTTTTTTTAATCAGAGCTTCACTCTGTCACCCAGGCTGGAGTGCAGTGGCACGCTCACAGTTACTGCATTCTTGATTTGCTAGGCTCAGGTGATCCTTCTGTCTCAGCCTGCCAAGTAGCTGGTACTATGGACATACACGACCACATCTGGCTAATTTTTTGACTTAATGTAGAGACAGGGCCTTGCCAAATTGCCCAGGCTGGTCTCAAATCCTCAGACTCAGGTAATATTCTTGCCCCTGCCTCCCAAAGCACTAGGATTACAGATGTGAGCCACTGTTCCTAGCCTATTTTTTTTATTTTTTATTTTGGTAGAGACAAAGTCTCTCTATGTTGCCTGGGGTGACCTCGAACTCCTGGGCTCAAGCAGTTCCCTTGCCTTGGTCTTCCAAAGTGTTGAGCTTACAAGCATGAGCCACCGTGCCCAGCCGAGTCTCAGAAATAGTAAGGAATCACTCATGGCAGCAGATTTTTGCTGCAGTGTTGGCAGTGGTCTGACTGTGACATTGTTACTAAATGAAAATTGTGCTTCTTACTACTTGTCCTATAGCTTTCTATTTGTTTTTTGAAGTTGGTCTTCTATTCTCTTGGCAGTTCAATATGAGGTAGACATGATTTCTGTTTTTTTGCGAATAAATATAGCTGATACAGAGATCTTGAGAATGTTGCTAAATAGAAGTTACTGAATGAGGCTTTTAAACTATAAAGAAATATCTTGAATCTTTATGT